CCTTTCCACATTTTCTCAAGAAGCTTTTGGAAGTAATTCTCTATTATAAAAAAAATTAAAGCTACAAGTCCTTGACAATAACTCATTATTGACACATAAATTTTGATGACCCATTTAGTTATTCATTGCATAGAAAATTACCCCTAAGCAAAAATATTAATTAAATTACATATAGTGTTTGGAGCATTTTTTTAGGCCTATATAATTACATTTGCATTGGATTGACGGCGGATGGACTTAATCAAATTATCCAAAGCTTAATTATTTACTTGGACTAAGGCCGCAAGGTTAAGAGCGTTTGGCCAAGCCCATGGGCAAGAATCACGATGCACTTTGCACCTGATGGTTGAAGCTCGCATGTATAAGAGAGTCAATTTAAATTTCAAATTATCCTCCATAATTTTAGTCTTCTTATTGTTGTAAATAGCTACCAATTAGTTGAGATTTTCTCATTATTTTTAGTTGTTGTTATCCTTGTATATGTACTATAAATTATTGTTGAAATACAGCAATGAAAATTATCCTGAAAAATATTCTCTCAATCTTTTTTTTATGGTATCAAAGCGTGTTTGCTCCTAAGAGCCTCTCTCATCACGTGTCTGCTCCTAGCCATGGCTGCCACAAAATTTGCTTCTCAAACAATCCTCCCCGAAATTCCTCTAGCCACTTCAACCGGAGTTATTGCAATCTCTGCTAGTGCGTAGCTTCCCATGAAGCTGACTTCCACCAACTATGCTTCTTGGCAGGCTCAATTCATGTCCTTGCTAGTCGGATATGACCTTAAAGGATTCATCAACGGAACGCATCCTTGCCCACAGAAAGAGATCAACCGCGGCAATCAAACAGTCCTGAATATCGCCTCCTTTCTTTGGATTAGACAAGACCAACTCTTGCTCAATGGGATTTTTGCTTCCACTTCTGAAGCCATCATTCCCCTTATTGCCTCTTGTGCAACATCTCAAAGTGCATGGAACAAACTTGCAACACTTTACGCAAGCAAATCTCGATCCAGAACCAATTATCAACGGTTAAACGCAACTCTTGTTCTATTTCTGATTTTTTACGGCAACTAAAATCTATTGCAGATGAGTTGGCAATGATTGATTCACCTCTCCATGACGATGACCTTGTCATCCACGCTCTCCGGGGATTAGGATAGGAATACTGTGAAATCGTAGCGGCAATTCATGCTCGTGAACACATAATCACTTTCGAGGAACTTTACAACAAATTAATCGCCCATGAAATGTTCCTTCAACATGAAGAAATGGCAGATGAAGTCTTGCTGGTAATAGCCAATTTTAGCACTCGAAACACTCGAGGTCCGAGAGCCCTCTAGAAATTCCCTTGACACCCGCAATTCAGATCGCTAGAGAGATCATAGAAGCAGTGACTCACGGTTTCCACAGCACAATAGCTCCCCGCCCGTTTGTCAATACTATGATCGCGTGGGACACTCCGCCAAAAATTATTTCCGTATTCGAGAAGCAATACGTGCTCCGGTTGCAAATGTTGCAGCCGGTCCAAGTTCAACCCGAGAAGCGGGTTGGTTGATTGATTCAGGAGCCTCACATCAAGTTACAAATGATTTCACTAATTTATCTTTGCATAGCGAGTATGAAGGCCCGGATGAGATAGTCATTGGTGATGGCTTAGGTTTGAGTATCACTTACATTGGTTCTACTACATTAAATTACCCGCATACTTCCTTTCAATTGTCTGATGTGTACGCACTTCTCACATAACCAAAAATTTAATTTCGGTTTTACAATTTTGTCGTACTAACCGAGCCTCAATTGAATTCTTTGCCTGTTGACACTTAAATTTTTGACTAACCATTTAGTGATTAGTTGCATAGAAAATTAGGGATTAAATTTTAGTCCCTAACAAAAATATTAAAGTTAAATTACATAGCATTTTGTTTGAAGAACATTTATTAAGTAGTTGCATTTGCATCGGACTGGTGGCGGATGGGCTTAACAAAATTTAATTGAACTGGAGTTAATGGACTCAAGTACAGAGGTTCTGAACCCAATGGAATTAATTGGATCAAGCCCGTGTGAATTAAAGATTTGGCCCAACTCGTTATGCCCTCAAGTGGTCAAGATTGACATGTGCGTTGCGCGTATGGCACAGTGGATTAGGAAATATTGAGAAAATATCATGAAAATCTTTGGGCGCAAGATAACAATATTCACGTGAAAAAGTGAACAAAGCTGGAATTTGGACAGGATGGGGTGGAAATATTCGGTAAGGGACAAGGTTGCACGTGGTGATATATACTTGATCTTAATATATCTTCAATGAGGGCACGTGGATTTGCAAGGAAGAGGGAGGAGGATCAGTAGATTTGGTTTCGTTCGTGCAAAGGGGAAACAATATAAAGAAAATAACAAAAGAGAAAAAAAAGCAAAGGGAATTTGGTCAGCATGGGGCATATATTCTGAGCAATATATTAGACACTATCAAGAGGCCCTTACGTCTTCGGTGGCGTGAACAGAAAGAAAAAGGTCACAACAAAGGGAAAGAATTGAAATGTAATATATTCTAAATAATCATAAGAGGAAAGCAGATTTATTCTCTTTCCTTGAAAACCTAGGACCTCCCTACCTATAAAAGGGTCACACATAGACAAGAGAAGGGGGAAGCTCGAGAATTCTCAGAATAATCTTCGGAAAGATGCGAGTGATACACGTGGGTGAGAGTGAGAGAAGGTCGGTCGTGCCACTCCTTGCCGCACCAATCGGCGCCACCGCATCGCCACCCGAGCCAGCTCATCGCTCAAGAACGCTGAGCGCAGAAGCCAATTGATCGCCAAGCTGCCGCTGCTGCCCTGTGAAGCTCGAAGGCCGCTCGTCGCTGCTGCCCGACGTTTCACCAACCGCTCACAGCCATACTGTGGTCGTGAGTCATTGCGGACCGCTCTTGCTGTTGTTCCGCGACGCCGCCACCCCACCGCTTGCTCTTCTCCGAGCGTCGGTTGCTTGTTGTTACTACCCCCGCCTTGGCGCTGCTGCCCGGCCGATGACGACGTGCTGGTCACTACCGCTATTCCCGCTCGTGTAGTCGCCGCCTCTGCTGTTCTGCTGACCAACACTTCCGCGACCTTCATCAACTCTGCTGCTTCCTGACGAGTTCGTGGCCAAAAATCTTGATGCCATTCAGCCGCATTGACGAAGCACCAAACCTTGCCGCCTCAACTCAAACAAATTCTGTGCCGCGAGTCTTGAAGTCTGGTCTCCAGAGCACCAGTGAAGTTCGTCAGCGACAATTGGAGGCCTTGAAGTTCCTTTGGTGTGTCGTCCAAAGAACTAGCCCATGCAAGATTATTTTTTGCAGGTTATCCACGTTCCACCACCTTCTTGCTTTGTTGACCAGTAAAGTCAGCGAACCAAATTCCGAGTCACACCGTGAGCCACCGTCCCCGATCCCGAGACGTTCAAACTTGGAAAGCAAATATTCGAATTAGGTAAAAAGCTCATATAATTTGACTTTTGAGTATATTGTTTCCTTATTTGAAACATTGCAATCTTTGAATGATATCACCGTATCTATTACGTCCCTGAGTAAACTTTAAATTAGGAATTATTTCCTAATTTCACAACGTGCATATGATTGACAGTCCGATTTCATGCCCGAAATATGACTTGCGATCGCACGGAAAATCGTCAATCCGATCTCCCGCCCGAGATATGATTCGCGTTTGTGTGAAAAATTGGTCAATCCGATCCTCATGCCTGGGATACGATTCGTCAATCTATTGTTTTTAAATTTAAACGGATATCGGTAATATTTCTTGTGCGAGATGGTGTCGTGTTGATTCGATTTCTATCTTTGAATTGATCTTGTTTTTCTCAAAAAAAAAAATTTCCCAAAAAGAATGAGTTGCTTTAGGATAGAATAGGATAGATTGCATTCTTAATTTGAGTAATTTTTAATTTCGAATTTTAATATCAAAAAGAAGACACTTTAGGATAGATTAAATTATTATTTTTTTTAGAATAGGTTGCATGTTAATTTAGGCATTTTTTTTATTCCGAATTTCATTGAAAAAATACCAAAAAATAAATTATTTGTCCGTCATTAGAATTAGGTCACGTCGTCGCATGACATATAGTTTGCATGCTAGGTTGCATTAATCGCATGTCATTTTTGCACGTCATTGCATATAGGTTAGTTTGCATTTTAATAAAGCGCAAACCCTAATGAACATCTTGAGTGCCTTGCTTTGTTGATTAGAAATCATATTAGGATTGTCTGTGTGATTTTCTACTAACAATGCAGATGCTTGCGTGGCTTTAAGGTATGTTATCCTGCTATTTATTTACTGCTTTCTTGGGTGTTAAATTGGTGGTTTGCGCACTCGCATGAACACCTCACATGTTAGTGATTAGGTAATAAAATGGATCCAGACTGCCTGCATAAATATTTTTGAAAAGAAAAGGTACCGAAAGGGCATTAGACTAGATCTAGCGTAACCAAGTCCCCGAGCTTAGAATCTCTGGTTCGTAGGAATAAAACATATCTCCCTATGTTTTATTTAGGTTTCTAATCGACCTACCACAAATAGATTAGTGGCGACTCCAAGTATGAAAACTTTTGCATGTTAAAAAACTTAAACCCTAAGTTGCGAATTGGTAGGGCTTGGGAGGGCTCGAGTTAGGCTTAGTCTTAATAATCCATTAGCCTGAGAGAAATTTTAGGTCGCGACAGCTTGGCGACTCCACTGGGGACTGTGAGTTAAAACTCTTAGTGGACTTAGGCCAGTTTTTCTTTTCAAAAAAAAAATATTTTTGTTTGGCAGCGAGGATCCCAGGTACGTCCCTAATATTTTAAGGTGTTAAATGTTTTTTGCAGAATGGGAGTTATAAGGGGTGGAGTGTTTGTTAACCATTTTCTTGCAGGGAGGTGTTGAGATTGGATGTTTCAATTTTGATATGGAAGCGCTGTTTGCATATGAACTGTTGTGCATGCCTATGCATCTTCACTACACTCTAGCACACACAACCTGTCGCCGGACCTGGGCCGCATAGGATCACCTAGGATGGTATTGAGATGGATACCACTCCGACCGTCCGCCCGCGGTACGAGTTGCCCATCTCAATCCCGATATTTCTTTCTTGATGTCAAAGAGATTACCACCCCGGTCCGCATGCCCGCGACATGGGTCGGCTCTTTGATGATGCCGGAGTTACGAGGACCCGACTTAGTCCGCATGCCCGCGGCTAGTCCGAGCATCTTCGTGGCTCCACTTTGTTAAGCCTTCTAGAGTAGAAATCGAGCCACGTAGCATGCGTATGTCTATGTGATTGCCACCCGGTTATTGGTAAAGTAAGTCCTTTAAACTTTTTCTTCGCAATTTATTTACTTTATCGTATTATTTTGTCGGTCCATGACATTAGGTTGATCGCAAGTCTTGGTCAATATACAATGGGAAATTCCGACATTCGACTTATTCTCCCTCCCAAGAAGGAACTCAACGCGTGGTGGGACAAGCTAGACCGAGCTGGTCGTGAGTTCGTGGAATTAACAATTGGCCGACTCCTCCCTCTGTTGCGTATCAACATTCATGGCGGCCTCATTCAAGCACTTGCCCATTGTTGGTGTCCAGAGACGACTACTTTCATCTTCGGTAAGCATGAGCTCACTCCGACCTTAGAAGAATATAGCATTGCCATTGGAAAACCTTTGGAATTAGAATTAATTAGTCCACCTATTGGAATAAATCTTGTCTCGATTTTATCTGATTTTCTGAGAATCAAGGAAGAAAAGATAAGAAAAATTTTAAAAGGTCACCGCAATACTTGCCCATTTTCATTTCTTGATGAATGTTTCCAAAATGGCACTTCATTTCAAATGAGAAGGATTTTCCTACTAGCTTTCTTTGGGTTTATACTTTTCCCTCACTGCAAGAATGCTATTAATCCTTTGATTGCTAAGTTAGTGGGACAAGTGTGTGGGGGAATGAACTTTGTTAATGCCCTCCTGGCAGAAACTTTTCTTTCCCTTTCTCGATTTAAAGAAAATGGTGACAAAATCTTTCGTGCTTCTCCTGAACTTTTGCAAATTTGGTTCTTATCCCACTTAAAAGGGTTTGGTGTTCTAATGATTATACGTGAAGTTAGCAACTCTGATCACCCTATCATGAGATTTGAGAATAAACAAAAACATGCACCGGATTATCATTATTCCAATTGGCTGGCTTTCTTTAAAAATCCAAAGTCCAAATGTTTCCTATGGCATGCTAAATGGTTCCAAGTTCGTGAGGCCAGACTCACATGTGGACGTGTTGGCCCAATCCCTTTACTGGGATTCACTGGGGCAATGGAATATTACCCAACTAGGGTGACTCGCCAGTATCAAGTGGTGCAAGAGCTTCCCCCAGCTTTGAAGCAAGCTGATTCAATTCGAGTCGACTTCACCGACGGAGACCTCGACCATGAGGATAGCATTTCTTTAATCAAGTCGTTGTGGGATATGTGCCATCCACAAATGCTCATATGGCCCGAAAAAGAATTAGAGGGTAAAGAAAGAAAGTATTATGCTACGGCTGAATACATTCGACGACACAAGATTCCAGATAATTTACTCCCAAAGATACCAATGGTGCCTGAGAAGATCACCAACCGTGCTGAGAAAAGATGTCTCAAGAGAAAAGCTGAGAAGTTACAAGAGCAAGTTACACACTTGGCCAAGGAGAATAAGCGATTACGTTTGGAAATCACATCCCAGTTGTATATTGATCAAGCCAAATGAAATGGCTCGTGTCTTTTAAGATATTTTTCTTTCTAGATTCGTTGTTTAGGAATTGAGTCATTTGTTTTTGCATTTTTCTTTAAGTGATTTCAAGTTACAGTCGTTGTACAAATTTCGTCATTTCAATAAAGAGGTCATTTTTAATCAAAGCGGTTAGACCAATGTCATGGATCGGCGTGTGATTCTTCTTGACACTTATGTATGCCTGTTTTATCCGTGAAATCAGGTAATTACGGACCGATCACGATCGCCTATTCGTACACGGTCAAGAACTAGAATGGCCGATCAAACTGACTTACGAGATCGTATCGTTGGCATTAAGGACCAAATGAAGCAAGTCCTCACTGCAATGCAACTGATGTCTGCCGAGATTAAAGCCTTTCGACTGACTCCCATTCCTGCATCCCCTGAGGCATCAGCCCCAAAGCAGAAAGGTGGAAAGAATGCCGATAGTGAGGAAGATGACGATCTTCCCGATTTAGTAGATGACCCCGTCCAGATTATCGTCAATAAGGACAAACCTAATGAACGGGTCAACAAGCTTGAAGAGAGAGTGAAGCAACTGGAAGGCTCACATGATTCAACCTCAATTGACTTATCTCTTTACTCACAGATCAAAATCCCGAAGAAGTTCAAGATGCCAGATTTTGACAAGTACAATGGCACCTCCTGCCCAAAGGCCCACCTGCAGCTATTTCACGTACAAATGACCCCGTACGTTGATAATGAACTCCTGATGATTCATGCATTTCAAGCAAGTCTGATGGGTCCGGCCTTGAATTGGTATCTCATGAAGAAGATAAATGGCTTCAAAACCTGGAAGGAAGTTAGTGAAGCATTTCTAAAGCAGTACAGGTTCATAACGGACATCATTCCCACCCGCGATGACCTCGAGCGTGCTCAGATGAAAAAGACTGAGTCGTTTAAAGATTATGCTATCAGATGGAGAAATATAGCCGCTCAGGTTGTCCCGGAACCTATAGACAGTGAATTGAAGAGGATGTTCATTAAAACTCTCCCATTCGAGTACCGTAATCGGATGGTAGCCACTCCAGCTGACAACTTCAATCAACTCATCCCCATAGGCGAACAGATTGAGATAGGGCTGAAAGATGGGTGGTTTGTGGAGCCATCTTCCTCGACCAAAAGATTTGGTGCAAGGAAGGAGAAGGAACCGGCACTTGAAGTGAATGCGACTTATACCCAAACGGGCCGACGGAATGCTAACCTTGTCCCAAAGAATCCAAGTAGCGAAACTCAACAACATAGCACGGGTCGTCAACCTCTCGGAGGAGGAACAACAAGAGGCAATTCACCCCCTCCCGGGTCGTTGTCTCAAGTGCTGGTGGTCCTCCGGAAGAAAGGTTTGCTTACCACTGAGCCAAAGCGGCCCAACCCCGAGCAGTTCTATAACTACGATCCGTTCAAGAAATGTGATTATCATATGGGTGAAGTGGGGCATTCAACTAATGACTGTATCACTCTCAAGCATCGGATCCAGAACTTGCTTGACACAAAGGCATTTTCCTTTCAACCCGCTAAGCCGAATGTTCAGAGCAACCCGCTCCCTGATCATGCGGGCAATGTGAATGCCATATTTAGTTTTGATGCTAGTCGAATCAAGAATGTCAAGGTGTACATCGCCGACGTCTACGGTGAGTTGGTGAAAGCCGGTTATTACCCGAGTAATGAAGTCCTTCCCGGGCTATCATGAAGAAAAGAATCTCTGAAATGGTAGAAGCCGGAATGATTGTCTATGCCAATCACACTGGCATCGTCTCCACAATCTCCGAAGTGGTTATTAATTGGGACGAGGAGTTTGCTACATTGAACACGGAAGGACAAGCTCGACCTCTGCCACCAAGACATGCCTCCGCTTGAAGACGCGTCACGGTGATGAAGAGATCGTAGTAAGCATGCCTACAACCGATGAAGGGATAGTGATCGAGATACCTCAACCGTATGATTACAGTGATAATAAGGCAGTCCCTTGGTCTTACAATCTCAATGTCGACTTGGTTACCAGATCTAGGCGTACCTATGGCCAAGCTAATGCCCAACCCGCAAAACCCGTTATTGATGAAGAAGCCAAGGAGTTTCTAGGCGTGATTAAGGCTAGCGAATACAACATAGTTGAACAATTGTGCAAGATGCCCGCACAAATCTCTCGCTTAAACTACTCCGGCATATCCGTCAAGCATCGAAGGCCTTAATGAAGGTGTTAAGTGAAGTCCACGTGCCAGAGACGATCGATCATGACAAATTGGAGGAATTTGTAGGTTCTATACTCCTCAAGGACCTCATAGCCTTTTCAGATGAAGAGTTCCCTCTGGAAGGGAGGGGGCATACCAAGGCACTTTACATTTCTGTCAAATACAAGGCCTCGTATGTAGCCCGGGTACTCATTGACAACGGATCAGCCTTGAACATTTGTCCTTTGGCGACTTTACACCGCCTTAAGATAGATCCTTCTAGGATAAATTCTGCGAAGACCTCCGTGCGAGCCTTTGACGGAACAAAGAAAGAAGTGATGGGAGAAATCCACCTTGATATACAAATAGGACCAACAATGTTCAACATCCTATTTCAAGTTATGGACATTCCCACTGCATTCAATTTTTTGCTGGGTCGTCCATGGATTCATACTGCCGGAGCTGTGCCATCCAGTTTACATCAGAAGGTGAAGTTCGTTGTGGAGAGAAAGTTAGTCACAGTCCACGGTGAAGAAGAGCATCCAATTTACCATGCAACGGCTATCCCCTATGTTGAGCCGGATTGCAAAATAGAATCGAGCTATCAGTCGCTCGAGCTCGTATCAACCATACATGCGTCTAGAGGATCATCACCGCCCATACCTGAGGTGTCAAATGCTGCAGTCATGGTTGGCAGAGTAATGGTGTCCCATGGCTTTACTCCAGGTGAAGGCCTTGGTAGGAATGGTCAAGGTATCCGCCAACCGGTGAAAGTCTCTCGGAGGCCCCACACTACTGGGTTGGGGTACCAGGGGTCAAGCAAGCCAAATAATGGGGGATGTGGACGTGGACGTGGACGTGGTCGAGGTTGAGGTCGAGGCCGAGGAGATGGGCAGAATAGACAGCGGTCCGAAGAAAAGCCGAATGGTGAAGAACGTGGGCGTGGAATTACCCAAAATAACGGAGAGCTTGGGCGTGGTAGGTTGCTTCCACACATCCGCGCCACATTCCCAGGCCCTGCAAGAATGATGCATGAAGAGAAGGAGGTGATCGACACTTTGGGGCAACCGAGCGGCAAGTTCGATTATTATGTGAAATACTCGGCGCCCCCGAGCTTCTATGTTGACCCCTGTGACATAGTCCCGGATGGATGGGGAGGTATGGATGATCCAACACCTCTAATGACAGAAGATCCTGATGATTCAATGGATGGAATCACTGCCTTGTTCGATGATTTCTTCATTGGAGCTATCGAGGAAGGACCATTGGAGAGAATGGGCACTGGCCCGCAAGAGTAACACCTTTACTTTTTTCGCACACTCCCCTGCGTGGGAATTTTTACTGCTTTTTAGGACTTGCCCCGTCTCGGGAGCTGCTTTTCAGGACTTTTCATTTCTAGGACTTGATTGTTGCAATTTCCATTCCAATAAATGTAATTCATTTGGTGATAATCAATGAAATTACAAGTTATTTTCATTTTTGAGGGCATGTTGAGGTACATCAAACCAGCCTGGTGATGATATCCAACCGATAAAAAAATATAGTCCAAGGAGAATTCTGAGGCCTGGGCTTCTTCATGCTTCCTCGTGTTAAAACTTTTTTGAAAAGAATTTCGAAAACAAGTCACAAAAAAAAATCAAAAGAAATAAAAAAATACACTGTTTAGCCCTGTTTTGTCCTTCTGAACCCCCTACTTTATGTTTCAGGGGCAATCTTGTGACACGTGAGGGTATGAAAACGGTCCAATCTGATGAATTATGTGCCACCGAGCCTGATCTCGATGACGCCAATGAACTCGAAGATTCCTCGGACCTTCAGCGCGATCTAGAGCATCATGAAAGACCTAAAGTCCTAACGGTAGACCAAACTATCACTGTCAACTTGAGTGATTCCGGAGAACCCAAAGAGGTGAAGATAGGGGCAACCCTTCCCGAAGGTGAAGCGAAACGCTTGGTCCAACTGCTGAAGGATTACCAGGATATCTTTGCCTGGTCGTATACCGATATGCCGGGTTTAGACCCTTCTATTGTGGAGCATAGTCTACCTACTAATCCGGACATGCCGCCCAAGAAACAGAAGCTGCGAAGAACCAAACCTGAACTTTCGAAGAAGATAGAGGAGGAGGTCATGAAACTTTTGAAAGTAGGGTTTATTGAAGTCACCCGATACCCCAGTTGGGTGGCCAACATCGTGCCAGTCATGAAGAAAGATGGCCGAGTTTGGGTTTGCATCGACTATCGTGATCTAAACAAGGCCAGCCCTAAAGACGATTTCCCATTGCCACATATAGACGTTTTGGTGGACAGTACTGCTAGGTTCGAGCTGTTTTCCTTCATGGATGGTTTCTCGGGTTATAATCAGATAAAAATGAAGGACGATGATAAGGAGAAAACAGCGTTCATCACTCCATGGGGAACATTCCACTATAAGGTCATGCCCTTCGGCCTTAAAAATGCCAGGGCAACATACCAACGGGCAATGGTGACGCTTTTCCATGATATGATGCATAAGGAAATCGAGGTCTATGTCGATGACATGATCGCCAAGTCTCAGTCTGGGAAGAGTCACGTCGATACCTTGAAGAAATTATTCGAGAGATTTCGTGAGTTTAAGCTTCGTCTCAACCCAACGAAGTGCATGTTTGGAGCAACCTCGGGCAAATTACTCGGGTTCATAGTAAGCAGTAAGGGTATTGAAGTTGACCCTTCCAAAGTGAAGGCTATATGTGAGTTACAACCTCCATCGACCGTGAAAGAAGTGCGAAGCCTCCTGGGTAGATTGAACTACATAGCCCGTTTTATTTCTCAACTCTC